GTTGAATGAAAACGAGACTCCTCAGACCAGCCTTTTGCACTGAAGTGGTTAAGTGGGCTGTGATTAAAAGAAATAAGTAATTATCATAATTATAGATGAAAAGATACAGAATTACTCCTTTAAAAGCACCTCCTGTGCTCTGGAGTGGTTCTGTTATTTACAAAGTGGTAGTTCATAATTATGTAGCATAAGCAGGAGGACACCCTCTCGGTGTAGTGCAGCAGCCCTGTCTCTCCGAGGCAGAGGGTGGTACTGTGCCGGAGAGCGCTTTGTCCCCCAAGCACAGCTCCAAAGTTCAGGTCTTGCTCCAGTGAGTAGGATGGTGCTAAGCCAGGAGAAATTGTGGGAACCTTTCTATCTCAAGCTGAGTGCAGGGCACACTAGAGTTCACAGATCTCTCCCTGCTTGGCCATGACCACTGCTGGTAATGGCTTTTATGATCACCGGGTTTTAAATAATAAATAAAACAAAGAAGCAAACTCTGAAGCACTGGAGAACAGCCCTGGGTGGTGACATCCTGTCACAATTGAAGCCTGGCAATTCTGCCGGCTAGTAACTTATTACAAAACGTTTCTTTACCAGCCTCTTCCTACTCTAGGGCAAAGTGCCCATATGCCTGTGGGACTGAAAAGTTCAGGACTTGCTGGGTCATGGGTGCTGGCGGGTCCTGTGTCCCCACTGCGGTGCAGTGCTGGGAGACGTGTTATGCTCTCGCTCTCCCTGCTGCATCCGTTATTGTGCACAGGAATTTGGTTTCCAGTGCCGTCAGTCAATTCAGTGCCACTCATAAGCCCTAAATGCCCCACAGGCTCTTTGTCAGAATGTTCCTATTAACAACTCAGTGAAAATAAAGGGTGAGGGGAAGGGAAGGTGGAGAAATAAATATGATTTTAAATCTTTTGAGCTGGTTTTATTTCAAATGGAAAGTTGCATGTGGACCACCCCAAGCTATTGTGCTGCGGACTGCGTCAGCTGCTTGACTGTGCAAGGAAGATTTGGGTAGAGGTTAAGAGCATCACACAGGGGAAGGATGCACTGGATTGCTTTTGTGCTGTATCCAGGAAGTTTCTAACTCAGTATGGAGTTGAAATACATTGACACACGTGGTAATCATTATAAGAAGGGAAAGGAACATTGAAATATGACAATTTGCTGCTCCCATTCTGGGGATTATGTTGGTTTTTGACTGGCTTGTAGAGGTAGTGACATGTTGTAGGGGGGTATAGGAAAATGAAGGGCAGACGCTGTGCTGGAGTGTGCTAAGAGCTGATTGCTGAGCTTGACACAGTACCTGTTGTCCAGACACCTTGAATCCGCTTACATAGTGTATGGCTTCAGAAGGGTGGGTGGCTCTGAAATATGGCAGTAGCATTGTACCTGGTTTAAAAGAGCTGTTCAAGCACAGAGCTGCAGAATCGTATACCAGGCAGTGCGATGCAGGGCGAAGAGGGAAACACTGCCATGTCTTTTGCTGTGGTCACACCACAGGTGGAAGCGGGTAACAGCCTCCTGGACCAGCTTTTGTTTAACTAGCCCAGGCGTTGGTAGCAGAGGAGGGATGTCAGCAGTACTTGAATGTAGACACATGTCCAGGGAGCCCCTTCCCTTCCTTCCCAGTTTAAGGTTCTGCTGCTCTGTCTTCACCACTTTGTATTCCAATATATTCCAGTCCGAGCCAGTTCTTACAGGACTATAAGAGCTGTAAATGTATCCTCAGTTTGAGTGGAGCAATAGCAAACAAGGGAAGGATAAGGGAATTCTGTAATGGGGTAGGAACATGGAAAATGGAGGATGCAAATGGAAAAACCCTGGCCTAAGAAGATCTGAGGCAGAACATCGGTGTCCCAGCAGCTTTGTGGCTCCTGTGTGCCTTTTTTCTTAGAGCATTGCTGGCAAGCTGGCCTGTCTCCCAGGGCTGTGCCTGTCTCCAGCACAGGGCTGTCGCAGGCTCGTTCCCGTCCAGCCCCGCAGAGCCCTACCAGTCCATAGTTACTAGAGAAGAACAGGGAATCTGATACGGGCAATGTGTTAGAGAAGGAAAGAGTCTTGAGGAGTTGAGTAATGCACATTTTTTCCATCCAGCGTAACTGTTAATGGTAACCTTTTATTATTGAAGTGGTTGAAGTGACTAGAATCTGGTTTGTTTATTGGGAGTATATGCATGGCTGTATAGTCTAACGTGATCGAAAAAGGAAACTGATAATAAGGGAAAAATACACCTAGGGAAGCAGGTCAGGTGATGGCTCTGTGTAATTGTAATTCCAAGTAGCATTGCAGAGATTAACAGCCTGGCAGCCTTTTCATCTTAAACTTTATTTTTATAGGGGTTTATAACTTGGCATTAAAGTCAGGAGTGGGTGGAAACTTGGCAAATGTGGTTCAGCCCAGAAAGTGAATGTTATTTATATTTATTTCTCACCAAGTTTTCAAAAACACTTGGTTACTGTTTCTGTGTTCTAACAAGTAGTAATTTGTTGGTTTCAGTGACTTATTCTCTATGTGTTTCTTAAACTACGAAATAGTTCAGAACTTATTTCAGCTCTTCTGAAACTCCTCATGGAAGGACTCTAGATTTCCAGGAGTGTAAATGAAGACCGAATGTAGTTCTTATTGTATTTTCTTTTAGCAGGATGCTCCAGGTATTTCACGTACACTGAGCAACATCTTTATTGTATTTACATCAGATTTATTCCTGATTGCCAAGTAGCTACTGCATCTTTGGAATAATGACATTTGGTTTTGCTGGCAATTGTGTGTATTTAATGGCATTACTCAGGTGCGGGCTTACCACAGAGAGGCTGAGAAGGCAACACTCAGTACAGCCACATGGGCTCTGGATCGTCCGTGACACAGAACATGGTCTGGGACTGTGATAAAGCAGCCCCGATTCCCGCTCCCCTGCCCACACGTGACATCTCTATATTGACGCCGGGTCTGTCCCTGCTATTAACACTGATCGTATTTCATACTTCACATTGATTTCATGTCTGTTCCTAAAGCCGGAGACTAGTGGTGTAGAGCCTTCTGTGCCTGATTTTCAGGGAGGCCTACTGACATCGTGAGGAACGGCGTTTGAATAGGGATTTTCGGTATTTTCAGCAAACTGAAATACTGTGTTATGTTTCTGGCAGGCTGTGAGTAACATAGCAAAACGGTCAGTTGCTGACAATAGTGTTTGTGTATTGCATGTGTCGCATTGCATTTCATAGTTGAAATATACTGCACAAATAAGCACTTATTTAGAACATCAGTTGGGTTGAAACATTGGCTTTTGTGGAAAAATGGAATTAATAATTTTCTTAGAAATGCCTAATTTTTATTTCAAAAGTTTTTTTTAAGCAATTATTTTATAGCAGGTTAAAGATGTTGCAGGTTTTTCCTTTAAACGAATGGGAAGAGTGAGTTAAAATTTCTTAAAAGAAAATCCTGGGTACTAATTCACCCAGTTGTAAAATTCAGTACTTGTGATGATCCGGAATGGCAGCTCTAAAGATAGTAACTGTGTGTGTTTGTGTGTGTTCAGGGCATGACTCCCTCCTCAGTGAGAATTCAACCCTCTCTGTCTGAGATTAACTCTGGAAGGTGAAAAGAGCTGTCTTTCTATTTAGAAGGAAACAGGGAAAGTCAGCAGTAAACTGTCATCCTGAGTATTAACTGTGTAAAGCTTCAAAGCTTTATATAGATTAAGTTTTTAAAAAGAGTTCAAAGCCTTGTACAGTTGTTAATCATTACGCAAGTTATAATAGTATTATGGCATTTATGAAATAAATCCTATCTCATTACTTGCTGAGAGCAACATAGGGATTGGGTGGTAGTTTTCTAGTTGTATGGTATGCGTCCCTGAACACTTTTGTATCGGATGAATTTATAAATGCCTATCCAATAGCATGTAGTGAGGCTCATGGAATCTGCAACCTACTGTAAAATGACTTCTGATTGCTTAAAATTATCTCAGTAATAGTTATATTTATGTGCTTTTAAAACTTAATTTCCTATTTCAAATACTACTTTTAGAGGAAATTTAATTTTGTAATATGTGCATTTAGTTTTGCAGTTACATGAAAAGATACTGCAATATTGCTGACATAAGATATTTAAAAGGAACAATATGTATAAGTGTATAAAATTGTGGTATATGCATTTTGTGTGTAGCGTTTCATTTTTTGTAGCATGGTGTCACTTAGGGATCACGGGTCTTTGTTAAACTAAACAAAGGTTTTTGAAGAGAGTGAAGCCGCTTTCTTTAAAGTGGGCACTCATGCAGAGACGCTTTAAGGTTTCTGGGCAGACTCATAGTGAGGAGGCTTTGGATATAGGAACCATTGCTTTAGCATTTTCTCATATGTGAATTGCATGGGTTTGTAGCATGCTCTCACACAAGCAACGAAATTCTGCTGTAGTGCACCCGGGTGAACTGATGCTACCAGATAACTGTATCCACGCACAAGGTAAGGTGGAGTGTATGTCGGAAAAGGTAATAGTTGCTGAGTCTGTAATGAGAAGCTGTTCTATGGTCTGGTTTCCATTGGGTTTGTGCGAGTGGATACTCATTTGGGTTTCTTTCCTTCACCTCGATGCCAGTGACTCTGAAACATTCACCCCTTTTTGAAAGTTATTCAATTTGCTGGGACAGATTCAAAAATTAGTGACAGTGTAAGTGGAAATGTTCAAGCTTATTTCTTTAGGAAATGAGGCCGGAGAGGATACCTGCTACCGGTTTCATAAGGTGGTTCCTGAGCAGCGGGTGACACCTAAGAAGTCCGAAAGAATGTTAATGATTGTTGTTGCTTTTACTTTGTGCTGCTTTAGCTTATGTTTCTGTGAAGCTTTTATGCAAGCGTAGATTTGCAAACTAGAGGAGGTGCTGTTGTGTATAGTCCCCTGCAGTAACCCTTACCCTAACAGTCCTCTTCTAAGTGCAAACTGAAATGACAGCAAACTAATTTTTCTCTTTTAACAGTGGAAA